TCTGCGAATGGAATAGAAAGTGTAAAAGGAAAGCAGCCTTTATTTTCTTTCGGTGTTATCTCCGATGTTCAGTATGCTGATATTCCTGATGGTCGCTCATTCCTTGGCACTCCCCGTTATTATCGACATAGTATTCATGTACTGAACAGAGCAGTGCAAAACTGGAACAACCATCAAAAGCTTAAATTCGTCCTAAGTTTTGGAGACATTGTTGATGGATTTTGCCCCAAGGACCAATCTCTTAGCTCTGTAAAGAAAGTAGTTAGTGAATTTGATAAGTTTAATGGTCTGGTATATCATATGATTGGAAACCACTGCCTCTACAATCTTCCACGCAAAGAATTACTTCCATTATTGAAGATTTCAAAACTTGATGGAGGTCTTGCTTATTACGACTTCTCGCCTACTCCGAATTTCAGATTCGTCGTACTTGATGGTTATGATATAAGTGTTATTGGTTGGCCTCAGGATCATCCAAACTCAATGGAGGCCCTCCAAATTCTATCCCAGAGAAACCCAAATGCAGACAAGAATAGCCCATCAGGATTGATTGGCTTAGAAAGAAGATACCTTATGTTCAATGGAGGAGTTGGTAAAGAACAATTGAAATGGTTAGATGGTGTACTTCAGGAAGCAACACATTTAAAGCAAAAGGTGATTGTTTGCAGTCATCTGCCCCTAGATCCTGGGGCGACATCTTTTGAAGCACTTCTATGGAACTACGACGAAGTAATGAACCTGATACACAATTACAATTGTGTCAAAGTTTGCCTGGCTGGGCACGATCATAAAGGTGGATATACAATTGATTCCCATGGAATACATCATAGAGTTCTTGAAGCAGCCCTTGAGTGTCCCCCTGGCAGCGACGCGTTCGGACACATCGACGTCTACAATGATGGACTGTATCTTATTGCTACAGACCGAATGAGCAGCTCAAGAATGCCTTTCGATTCCGATCGAACTTGTGACAGTGAGAATGGCTGCATTACAGACCCTTTAACATCTACATTATAAATCATCTTATGACGTATATATTTCATGGTCATAAGTATATAGCCATTCGAAAAGGGAAAACTACGAAATTTTAAGTTAGATTCCCTCGTAGAAAGGGCTGAGGATCCCTCAAAATTTTCCTTGTCAAATATGTGGTGGAGAAAGAAAACGAAAAATGGTTTCGAATTTTTTGTTTATTGCTAACTACTATACACCGTTTTATTATTATTTTCTTTACTTCAAGCTATTACGAGTAGGAATGGTACTTGATGTCTTCCCAAATACTAAATGGGTAAAACATTATATGTGTTTATATATACATCATTTTCTACCTAGGATTGTATGGAAAGAAATTAAGTGATGGTAGATGCATTATTAATAAATGCATGAATTTCCCATTTGTTTATAATCTATATTGTTTATTTTCGTCCGAACAAAAAAAATTATTGAATGAAACTATCACAATTTTTTACTATTTAATATATGAGAAGAGATTTTTTAGTATTACAAATATAGGTATGAAGATTTGAATTTCTAACCTCTAACATATTAAGTATAGATATCTTTCTTTTTGGTTTCAAAAGTCATATTGACGGGGCTCGAGAGAACTTTCACCAACAAAATATCCTGGGGTAGAACAATGAAAACATACCGAAATAGTAAACTTGTACTCCACCATGTTCTAAGGTTGGCAAGCTATGTATCTACCCTAATGAATGAAACCCCAAAGTCCAATATATTCAAATATTGTCATTAATCGACACATTCATAATTTAATACACTTTATTTTCCATCTTTTCACCTAGAAAATTACAGTACAAGAGAAATCCAAAATGCAGAAAGACTTAAAAAAAAGAACTCAGAAGCAGAGCAAGTTTCCATCTTTGTTAACTTACTGTCCCGGCGCCTCCGCCTTCTTGGCCTTTCTCTTGCCGGCTAAGAAGAATCCGGACAAAGACAGCACAGAGAAAGCACTGAAGCAAACAGAGGCAATATCAAGTGAGATATGGCGACCTGTGATCGCTTCGATTTGAAACAAGTTCGTGCCTTTTTTGTTGTCAGTCGTTTGCCCGTAGCCCACTTCATCGCCGGCGGAATTGAAAGCGTAGGCCCGGACGAAGAAAGTTCCCGTTGGAATGTCACGCGCCACCGTCCACTCGAACTTTTGTACCGTCTTGTTCCCCGGATTGTACGGCTTTCCCACAATGAGGAACTGGCAGGTCTTGTCCTTTGAGAGATCGTCCTCTGTTTTTCTCCAGGCCCGGTCCACTTGACTCACCGGCGCGTAGCAGAGCTTCGCCTCGACGGTCTTGTAGCTCGAATCCGACCCAGATTTGACAGTCCCGTTTAGAACCCAGGTCACACTGATTTTATCAACACCCGCTTTGAGAACTGCAGAAAGAAAAAGACAACCCAGTTGTTAGAAATGGGTAAAGTTCCAATTTTGGATTCAGATCAAGCACACAGCTAGTGGATATGTTTTCCCTTTCAAATTTTTACAACTCGATGGATCCAGTGTCCTTGTTGTCACACTGCCTCCTATCCATCCCCATTCGATCTTGTGTCCATCCTTCTTCGAGACTCAGCCTTATCGTTGACACATCGCCTGGTGTTTGATTTGTAACTGTCCAAGCTCATCAACGTAGATATTCTCCATTTTGGCTTTCTCAAGGTTTACCCAATGCGTGTATTAGGGAAATGTTACAAGAGATCTAACAGTGGAGCTGAAAAATCGTACCTTGTCCAGGTTTAGGTGAAGCAGTGACCTCCAAACTTCTTGGAAGAGACGAGAAATGGATATGTCCATGAGAGAATCCCAAGAAACAGAACAGAAACAGAGCAGCCAAGAGAAACCCATTAGCAGACATATTGATTGAACCCTCCATATTTCAGCAGACTTGAGGACGACGACGATGACACTCATAGCAGAAGTAGGGAGCTGGGTTGGTTTTATATACAAGTGGTGACAGAACAAGTCAAAGTAGCCCAAGTTGGGCTCACGAAAGAGGGAATTTCAGGGACTACACTTCATTAAAACGATGATTACTTTGGCTCTAAACTCCTCTGAAAAGACGAACGGGGAAAAGGGTTTGGGTTTATTTTAGTGGGTTTGACTTTCATAGGAGAGATTGGGCAGCATGAGAAGACATTGGATTCAAATTTTAGGGGTTGAGCTAGACTAGGGATGCAATGTTAATCTTTAAGTTTTAACTCTCTAATACGTTATCGTTCCAAATATCAATAACCAGTTACACTTTATTTTATTGAAAATTAACGAGTTAATTAAGACTTTCACCTTAGAAGAATTAGTGAAGAATGAATTGAGGGTAAAAATTGTCACACTTATTTAAGTTTAAGATCGATATTGATATAACCGTATAAATTTAAGAAAAAAATGGATTTCTTTCATAAGTTTTAATATTAATAGACCCACGTTGTGAGGTAGACAATGTATAGAACGAGTATCTACGACGACCGAAAATTTTTGTTGTAGGGCTTAGGTGAGCTTTAGAGACAGGGAAAAGGCAAAGGGCAATGGTATTTGGTTTGTCCATTTTCTCAGCGTCACACTTTTATTTTATAATTTCATACAACTACCAAATGGTCAACTTACTCCCTCACCACCACAAATATCCAAAATTATCAATGCTATACCACCTATTTTTCTACAAATCCAAATTCATTTGCTTCACATGGGTGTTGAATCCACACTTTTATGCGATACATAAATGAACCGATATTACATCTAAATGAGAGCTGTCCTTAAATGTTTAAAAGTAGGAAAAGTCATTACTTATACCAATAAGATGCATCTTCTTTTTTCAGTAGCTCAATCATGAAAATTTCACGGCTATGGTGATGGACAGAATGTTGGGGCCATAAGTGCGTAATATGAATTCCAAATCTTGAGCCTGAGTCATTACAAATTAAACCGTAATATTAAAAGTTAAATTTATAGAAAAAAAAATCTTTGAAAAATAATAGGTAAGTATAAATATATATAAGCAGTGATTTCAAATCCCGAGGTTAAGCGTACTCTGGCAACTTTACGTAAGGCAGAGTTTGATTTTTTGTTTGAGGGCTCCAAATAAGGAGTCGAGCCTCAATCAAGGACATGTGGTGTTAGCCTCAATCAAGGACTCCAATAATGCATTCCAGAGCCATGAGAGCTTGTTCTAAAAGTCTAAACTTTAATTACCCAATACAATGATAAATAATTTAAGAACTCAAGATGATTTAAACAGCAAGGGACCGGTAAACTAATTCTTAAAAGAAAACATGTTATCACCAAATCTGTACGAGTCATATGTTATAGAATAATCTCAAAATACATAACAGAATAGATAAATATCAAGACTTGTAGCAGAACAATCTCTAACATTAGGAACACCTCAAGTCCAGAATTTTGACCAGAATTTTAAATTTAAAATCGACATATAATGATCAAACATTTTTTTACGTTCCATGCAACCTGAGTCTTAGTGGTATGGAAACCATTCTAACATAAAAGTCCAAATCCTCAACCATTCTTCTCATAATTCATAAATGATAGAACTTTACAAGGCAAGGTTTGACCCTCCATGTGAAGATTAGGTGCTGGTCATCCCAATTACAATGAAAATGCATGGAGATTCAAAAAAGTGGGTATGAAAACTCAAATCAAATACAAATCAAAGGTCAAAAAAAGGGAAGAAAACATGAACAAATTAAAGTGTAAGAAATTTCAAATAATATTAAAACAACGAGAAGGTCAAACACAGAATCTATAATTAATAAATAAAAAATAAAAGTTAGTGCTTTTTTAGCGTCTTTTAATTCGTTCATATCACAAAAAGCTTCATGAAGAACTCGTCTTTGCTTGCCTAATTATAGCCTAACACGTTTTAATTCAACTCTTAATCGTTGCTGTTTTAGACTCATCCACTATAATTCGCCTATATATATATACCCATCTTCTCTAAAATCTCCAATCCATTACAAATCCATTAGAAATGAGGAGTTTTGTAAGGCTTTTGTTCGTGGTGGCCTTGGCCTTGGCCTTGTTAGCGCCTCTTGCCATGGCTCATGCAGCCAAAGAAGATTTGAAGGTTGCATCACTGTGGGGGAGGGGCGGGTTCTTCTCTTATCGGTATAGGCCTTACCAAGCGGCGGTGACATGCGATAGGAGTATCAAGGTGTGCCGTGCCAAGGGCAGCCGTGGGCGCAATTGCTGCAAGAAAATGTGCGTGGATTTGAAGACGGATAGATACAATTGCGGCAAGTGTGGGAAGAAATGTAAGTACTCGGAGATATGTTGTAAAGGGAAGTGTGTGAATCCAATGTTTAATAGGAACAATTGTGGCGGCTGCAATAATAAGTGTAGTAGAGGAAGCTCGTGCGTTTATGGGATGTGCGGCTACGCGTAAATAACGATGGATTGTTTTGATTATTCGTTGTTGGTTACTTGAAAGTTGTTGATTCAGTTCATATTGATTAATGTCATATATCAATGAATTAATGGATTTGTTTTAAGTTGATGTTGTTTTGTTTATAATCTTGTTTTGATTAATGGATTCCTCTTTTTCTGAATCATATGATCAATGGGACTATGGAAGCTACATATCATTCTCATATGAAACAACTCGTTTGATATAACATATCAAGTCATGGGTATAACGTCGATCCAATCCAATCGATAAAGTTTGGGTTGAAGTATGAACTTATTTGAATTGGGATTGGTTTAAATAAATGAAATTTTTATAGATTGAATTCTTTAATGGTTCCTCTGAACTTAGTTAACTTTAAAAAAAAAAAATTGCTTACCACATGTCGTTTTCAATGAAGATCATCATGGTGGTCCTTCGAAAATGTAGTACTGTTGGATTTCGGGATGCTAGAATAAAAAAGACCTGATTGTGAGTCACTCTCAACCCGAGTCAAAAAAGCTACACAAAACCCTTTTGACAGGAAAAAAAAAGCACAAGGCCTACGACCGGTTAACGAATAGTGATGCATGTCGCTCCAATGCATATATACATATATTTATTTTATTTTCATTTAGTATCATAATTATTTTATTATTATTATTATTATGGTTCAACAACTCTTAAAAAAAAAAAAAAAAAAAAAAATCTATTTGGTGCATCCACTTGTAAATGATCCAAACACAAACTAACCTACTAAAAAATTTATGGCTGAGTTAATAAACGTTGTTTAAGTTCAACTTTTTGGTTATCTGTAAAAATGTTCTAATTCGACTTCCCTCCCACTTTTCTCTCTCACTTCACACTTTAACTCACCGTTCTTACAGAGAGACGCTTTCACATCTTCTTAACTCAAAATGGTAAATGGTTGGGGTGAGGAAAGATTTTTTTTTTTATAGTGTAACCGAGAACATATCCAGTGGAGATGGGGTGGGGCCTATAGCTCAGAGGATTAGAACATGTGGTTACGAACCCACAACCGGCCAAAAAGGAATGACTTTTTCCTCTGGGAATAGGAAAATCATGATGAGATAGCGAACCCAAAGCTATGCAACACAAACTAAGAAGCGTTTTATAATTGAGTGAAGTTGAAATTTTTTGCACTAAATTTGTGTCTTCTTGGCAATTCAGCAGCCTGAAAGATTCAAGGATCAAAAGGTGAAATTAGATGAAAGAAAGGTGGCTGATAGAAAGAGAGAATTAGATTAGAACATGAAATGCATGGGAAACCAACAAAGTTAGAGAAAATTCAAAGGTGAAAGAAAGAATAATAAATAAAGGCGTGTTAGGCACATGGAGGCCTCGTTTCCATTGCCTACCACCTTTTAATCCAATTCTTAATGGACGCTATTTTAGACTCATCCACTATCATTCCATATAAATACATACCCACATCTTCTCTACACCCTCATACCCAACAAAATGAGCTTCTTTGCAAAGCTACTATTTGCGGTGGCCTTGTGCGCATCTCTCTCCGCGTCTGCCGCAGCCAAGTTAGAGGACGACGAAGGGTTGGAAGCTTTAAGGCTACTTAGCTCGCTTCGGGCCAGGAGGGGCTTCTTCGCTTACATGTTTAGGCCTTACCAGGCGCCGAGGACATGCGATAGGAATGTAGAGGTGTGTCGGGGCAAAGGCAGCTGCTGCGGCAACAAGTGTGTGGATTTGAAGAGGGACAGAGTTAATTGTGGGAGGTGCGGGAAGAGATGCAAGTACTCCGAGATGTGCTGCAATGGAAGGTGTGTGAGGCCCTTGTTCGATAGGAACCATTGTGGAGGCTGCAATAATAAGTGTGGCAGAGGTAGCTTGTGCGTCTATGGGATGTGTGGCTATGCATGAGTGATGGTAGGGGAACAAAATTGTTACTCTTAAAAGAAATTATTTTGATTCTTTTTTTTTTTTTTTGAATGTAAACAAATTGTTTTGATTATTCATCATACGACAATATAATTCATTTATTGAGTCTCAATGGGTTAAATTAATAAAAATATACTTCATTTTTTTTAAAAATTGAAAAATAAGATATTGATTTTTTTTTACGTGCATCTAGTTGGTTCGATTGATTTGTGCTTGAGCCGGATGATGAAAAATTATAATGTCCGGTTTCTTCGGGGATGGATTCATAATAATTCACCTATCCTAATAAAAAAAATTAAAAAAAAAGATTTGAATGAACAGTATTAAGAAGTTAAGAGTATGCGTCATAATTATTACGAAAACTTGCATGGACCAATGATCTTTTATATAATTTTCAAGTAGTAATTTTAAGTACTATTGCTGGTAACATAGGCTTAATGAGAACTATTAATGATTGATGAACTCGCAGATCCATTTGCAACTCTTTTGTAAATATTGACAGAATGATACTTTTTTACTGTATTTCAAATACTTCATACGTTGACAAATAAGTTATTGGTATTCTTTTAACGGTTTATGTACCGTCATTATTATTATCGGCACTTTTTTTTTAATAAAAATAGTTAATAATTTGTTTTAAAAATATCCTTTATTTTTTACCATTAGTACCCTTACATTTGAATCGGAAGATGGTTTATGAGGTGCAGACACACAACTTCTGTTCATATATTGACCATAAGTACTTGGAGATTGCTGATTAGCCTACATCTTATTCAATATATAACGGTAGTACTAGAACTTTTTCGAAATTATCAAATTTTTTTAGTACTACGATAATAGAGACTTTTTTTATTCAACATTTGACACGTCATTTAATGATATATTATTTTATTTTATAGATCCCACACAATTCTTAAATAGTTGAAAATAGTTATCAAACATGTTTTTGTTAAAGACATTTATCTTAACTGGTCGGATTTTGCTCACTTCATTAAAATTTTGTATTCAAATTTAATCTGAGTAGAAAATTATGCAACCCATTTATGGTTGTCTATGGTTCTTCCTCGAATTAATTCTATAGAAGTTTCGGTCGATTTTATGCACCATTATTTCATTTCGTTCTATTTATGGACTCGAGTAGAGTGAACAATACAAAACATAGATAAAGTACGTAATCTATCAAACTTAGTCTAAACCGAGCCACGGTATGCGGCACCTCCCTCTTTAATTTTGTGGCTCCACATTAGTTTGGTCTAAACACTAATCTAAGCACTGAAGTATATATTAGACATCACGACCCTCCAACCACCGACCATGACTCGGAGCTGATGTAAACTTGTGGTTAAATTCTTGAATATGTCTTTTTGGATAGGTTCCAAGAATGTCGGGCAGCCACCCATGACTTTTTGCTTTAGAACTTCAAAAAATTAAAAAATTAAGCTAAGCTTCAGAAGAGCCATTCCGGGGACAAAAGACGTGCTGTTAATTTAAATAAATTCCGACAGATATATATAATATATATATTATATGACAATTTAAGTAAACGAGTATTATCTAAAAAAGGAAAAAAGTAAACGAGTAATTATTTAATTTAGTCAACGATGCAGAATAAAATATTTAATTGTAGACGTCAGAAGTTATTCAGTTCATTCACATGCGTACGGAAAGTACCCAAATTCATTATTTAAATAATAATAATAATAATAATTTATGTGTTGTACCAAAAATTTTATAACCCATATAACATAAATTTATTCTTTTTATTTTTTTTAATTCCTTTCCCGTCTAGAAATACATTAGGTTCTTAAAAAAAAATACTGTAGAATAAGAGATACATGAATAGATTATAAACCCATGATATTAGGGCAGGACTCTGATACAATGTTAGATGAACACGTCTCTCTACAATGATATGATATTGTCCACTTTGAGTATAAACTTTAATGACTTTGCTTTGGGCTTCCCAAAAGGCCTCATACGAGAGAATATTTCTTGATTATAAACTCATGATTATTCCCTAAATTAGCCGATGTGAGATTTTCATCATCCAACACTCACAATGTACGGGGCCAGCGTCCTCGTTGGCACACCATCCGATGTCTAGCTCTGATATCATTTGTAACAACTCAAACTCACTACTAATATATAATTACGAGGTAGATCAAAATTTGATCGAACACTTTCACACAGACATGAATCTTGACCATTTATTTGGCGCAACCTCAATATTATATGATATCTAACTTCTTGGAACAAGTAAGCCCAAAATGAAGCCGTGCGATCACGTTTAACAATCTGACTTAAAAAAAGGTGACTAAATTATGTTCTTAGATCGTGACCTCCACTTCTCCCCATACTCAAATCCACATATTTAAGCCCCTCAAAGTCACCTCATTTATCAAACCTTCTTCAAACTGTGCATTCCTTGTAGCCATGGCTTCCTCATCATCCCACCTTCTTCTAACTCTTCTCATCATTATCTCACTCATCCAATCCTCCTATCAAGATTACTACACCCCAACCAAGAACAACATGAACATAATCGACTCTTGCTGGCGTTCATCCTCCAATTGGGCCAAAAACCGCCAAGCCTTAGCCAACTGCGCGGTGGGCTACGGCAAGGACGCAATTGGAGGCAAATTTGGCACCATTTACGTAGTCACCGACCCATCTGACAACCCTTCAAACCCCAAATATGGAACGTTGCGTTATGGTGTGATTCAAAACAAGCCACTTTGGGTTGTGTTTGCTAAGAGCATGGTTATTGTGTTGAAGAATGAGCTGATGATAAATAGTTTCAAGACCATTGATGGACGTGGTGCTAATGTGGAGATTGCTTATGGGCCTTGCATTACGGTGCAAGGGGTTAGCCATGTTATTATACATGGAATTAGTATCCATGATTGTAAGCCTGCCAAAGCTGGGCTTGTTAGAGACACTGTCACACATGTCGGCAAACGTAGAGGCTCTGATGGTGATGCCATTTCTATATTTGCTTCTTCCCATGTTTGGATTGATCATTGTTACTTAGCTCGATCCACTGATGGTCTTATTGATATCATTCATGCTTCCACGGCTGTTACTGTCTCAAATAACTACTTCTCCCAACATGACAAGGTAAGAATGTTTTTTTAAGATTCTTTTTGTCAAATTCCATGTCAGTGTAAAAATTCTCTATAAGAGTGTAAAAATCTCTCCTT